GGGGGGGGGGGGGGGGGGGGGGGGGGTCAGTGGTGGTGCTGCCCATCCCGGACAACAGCTGGCAGAGAGGGGGAGGCAGTGGGGAGGGAAGGGGAAGTGGGGGGAAGCCCTGATGCAAGGCAGAGGTGGGTGGCAGGAGGGAGCCCCAGCACTGGAGGCTGGAGGAGGTGGCAGCAGCAGAGGGAGTCTTTACATGGCCGGCCCAGAAGGGTCAGCAGGAGGTGAGGGGGGCCATCTGATCTGTCATTCTTGACGGGCAATTAGCTAGTCATATGATAAACCTACATTCTTTACTGGATAAAAATCATATGCTACCTGTATGTAAAAGTTTAACTATGGCATGTGGTCAAAACAAACAGTTTTTTGATGCTCTACTGTGATCAAGATTATTTATGGAAAGACTTTATTTCACATTCAATTTCCTTATTCCATTTTGCTAGGAATGTAAGAAGCTTAAAACAGTCCGTCAGGCTTCACACTGGTACTCTTCACTAAAGCAAATGTTACTTTTTGTTAACTACAGTGCTGCAACTTCATGGGCCAAAAAAATTTTTTTTTTTTTTTAATTAATTTATCTGAATATGACCGGAAGCCTGGTCATCATTTAAAGGAAATGTGATTTTATTTTTAACCTGTGTGATATTCAGGCTTTCTGTTTACAAACTGCAGGTTCTCTGATAACACCCCCTCCAAATTCTTTGATTAAAAGCCCCAAAATCCATAATTAAAATGAAACACCATTATATATCAGTTGAATACAACGTTTTATTGATATATTTTCAATTTTGAAGCAATTTGGAAACCTACCAGTGCCTCTATCACTATAATAAAATAAATTCTAAATACTTACACATTTTAGCATTTGATTTTGGGTTTTTTATCATAGAAAAATCAGGTTGTCCCTGCATCTTTCACTCAGCAGGACATGGGTCCATCCGCGGCTGGCCCCAACACACTGCTTTGTGGTACTGAGCAGCCCTGATATGCTGATGCCCTGCCCATGCCATTGCCCCTCACTCCCCACCCACAGCCCACCGCCCCCACCCCCCAGCTGCCAGGATTATGGGACCAGGGGTCTGGGTTTGTAGCCCCCTGCTCCCTGCAGCAGCACCCAAGCCCTGACTGCTGCCTACAGGAGGCAGCGGCTGCTACAGCCCAAATGGGGCATGGAGCATGGAGCCTGGTTCCCCCTTGCCCACAGGCAGCATGGCTAGAATGGAGCCTCGTGGGGGGGGGGGGG